TGCAAGGTGCCTTACAGTATGCAGGGCATTTTAAAACCCAAAGGCTGTAGTTTACTTTCCCTGTGATATTTTTCAAAGTGGTCATTTAACTGTTAACCTTTATAAGAAAAACACCCAATAAGGTGATTATATTTGTATGACTAGTGACCTCTAAGGTCATGTTAATGGCTCCGCGTTGTTGTATAGCTGCAGAAACGGTCTACACTGGTGTTGAGGAGGCTGTGTGTGAGCAGCAGCTTACATTCTTTGGCACTGCATTCACACTGGGAGCAGGTCACCTGATTGTTAGCAGCACTTAGAGCCCACAGCTGCTGAAGGAGTGCAATTCAAGCAGGAGAAAGAAGAGTTGGCAAGTGTAAACACATGTTTTCGGTAATGGGTACGTTTTTTAAACATGTGTAATGTGAGTTAAATGTGAACACATAAGTAAAACATGAGTCAAATGTGATTCAAACACATGAGTAAAAACACGAGTATAAACATAATTAAAATGGAAAAGGTGAGGTAACACGTGAATGTGTGTAAGATCTGAGTAACACATAGGAAAAGTGAGAGTAAAACGTAATCAATATGTGAGTAACATTTGAGTATCAGTATAACATGTTAAAGACGTGTAGTATGTGAGTAACACCTAGGTTAATATGAGAAAAACATGAAAAACATTTGTGTAACACGTGAAACGCTTAATGCATGAATAAAACAAAAGCAATGCATTAGTAAAACACAAAAAAACATAATTTCCACATGAATAAAACAAGAGTAAAACGTTATAAAAAACAAACAACCTAGATATTAAGTAAAGATTAGTAGAGAAGGTTTAAAGAGTAAACACATGTGTAGACATGAGTAAAAGTATAGGCAAAACATGAATAAATGGTGAGGTTACATGAAACACATGAGTAACACGAGAGGAAACATATACGTAAAACATGGGAAAAACGTTTAATACGTGAGTCTCAAGTAAAATACAAAGTAAACGTGAGTCACACATGATTAAAACATGTGAAAAGAACCTGTGGCATAAATGAGCTACACATAAGTAAAGAAAGAATACAATGTAAGTAAAACATCAGCGCAACTTAATCATGGCTAAAACTCAAACGCGATTAAATTAGAGTTATTAAGGGGTTGAAATAACACGAGTAAGTTAAACGTTAGTAAGTTGTGAGTAAAACATCCGTAAAACAAGTGTGAACCAAATAATGCAAGTCATAACTCAGGTAAAACATCAATAGAACATCAGTGAAACACAAGCCTTTATATAGAAGCGGCATTGATTGGACCAGAGGCCTATCTGTTCCCACAGATCCTGTGCAGACAAGCCTTCAGGGAATCATCGGGCAGACTTTGACACTGAATACCTCTGCTGCTGTTTGCACCCTGTTTCCTTGTTTAACCATGACAATGATTGTTCCCTGACCTTCACCCAGCAGCTCCAATCGGTTCTGCTGCCACCACAGAGAACATTTGTATTGACTCCCCTGTGTGTTCCAATGCATCCCAGTGTCACATTAGTGATGTGTCGGTCGCGAACGAGCCGGCTCTTTGTGAACGACGGGAGCCGGCCCGCGCCCGCGAACGAGCCGGTTTTTTTTTTGTTTGCGGAGGGATCTAGATCGGCATGAAGGCACGTAATGTGCACATTATCCCGCTTATTACATGGCCACATTCTCAACAAATTAACGACATGACTCCCAATATTAATTGAAATGCTTTTATGGATTTAGAAAATGATTTTATTGATTTATTGAGTTGTATGTATTTAAATTGACATGCATCCGCTAAGAAAAATAGTCCGTTGTTACTGTTTGAACTAACGTAGCAACGGCAGGAACTGCTTCGAGAGTGTTTTTGAGGAGCTTTTTGATTACAGATTTGAAATCATCGTTGCTTGCTTTAAAAGTAGCACAATTCATTATGTCAAACCTTGGAAAGTATCTAGATATCCCTGCCCTAATGCCAAAGTAACTGGCAACTGAATATGTGTCGCCGTTTGATGTCTATGTCTGGACCGCTGCGTAAAAAGGAGGGTTTCTGCCCCATTACTTCTCTTCTTACTTCAATAAGAATAAAACACGGAGGAGGGAGATCTCTTTTTCTCCCCCTCTTCTGACAGCCCAGCAGCTGATCTCAGAGCACGCTGCCCTCTCCTGCAGGGGGTCAGCTGCAGCTCACAGAATCATACTTTATATAGATATGGCCCTACAATATATTGTTCAAATATAGCATGATAGGTCCACTTTAAGTAATACAAGACAGAATGATGATGATGATCTCCGCGCTACAGCTGCTCCGTGCAGGTGACATGTAATATCCAAGGATTAGAGTCGAGACGGTTGGATACTGCTGTTTTGAGCATTGCAATATATTTATTTTCACCATGTTATTTATTTATGATTATCCTTAGGCTCAGCAAAGATTTGATGTCAGCTGTTGCTGTCTTTTTTTCTATAGCTAATAGTTACTGAAATAGAGCCCTGCTGTTTTGTCAGGGCCTTTTCTTTAAATATAATTTTAAAATGTCGATACAGTAGCCCCTTTTTTTAAATAGTTTTTATAGGTGTTGCTATCTGTTTTGTGTAGCGTGGTTCGACAAGCAAGTCAGTGCATTCATTGGGTGGTATCAGAGAGTTACACGGGTCTGTAAATGCAATGAAAACATTTGGCCACAGCAAATCATTTATATTAAACATGTCATTTTTACTTTTGAATACTTCAGTACAAAGGTTGTATTGAATAATGTAAGTGATATATGTGTACACATATAATTAGTCAAAACAGGGCTACATTTGATTTAATTAAAAGGTATAATATGTGGTAAACTGAAGAGCCGTTTGGGAGCCGAAAGAGCCGGCTCTTCTTGGTGAGCCGAGCCAAATGATCCGGCTCACCAAGAAGAGCCGGAATTCCCATCACTATGTCACATCCTCGGTAATTCTTCGGGGAATTTAAGCAACCTGGGGGAAGTTAACACTCTACAAGTTTAGCTGTTTCCAATATTTAAGACTCAATGTAAGAAAACATCAAAATAAGGAATTCAACGTTTTTCACAATTTTAAAATGCCTACGGGGGAAAAAAATGTCCACGTAAATTGAATGAATAGAGCAAAAAATTATAATAAATATATGGTAACTTATTTGTACGTGTTAGAGAGATTGGCATGGCATCAGAGGAAAGCAACATTAGCATTATTAAAATCCTGCGACTTTTAACATTCCAAGTATAGGAAATATGATACAATTAAATAATTTTAATCCTAATCTTTTTGTGTGCCTGAGAAGTTGCCATGGCATGGGGCAGACACAGCTTTGTTTCCAGTATGATTGAAATTCTGCGTCTTTGGTAAAAGGAAATATGTGTTCTGAAAGACGCTGACAAATGTTAACAGTGTGAAAGGAAACTGCTGGGGAAATAGAGAAGCACTTCACCAAAATTCAAACCTGTCCGGAAACAATTATTTCCAAAATTCATGTCATCAATGTCATCTTCAATTATTTGAAAAAGAAAAAAGAAAAGTCATACAAGGGGAAATGAAAGAAAGCTGCATTCTCGCTGGACCTTTTTTCTCTGCTTGCCACATCTACACCAGGTCTCACATCTCACGTCTTTTTATTTTTAATTATTTTAATTATGTATTTATTTTTATTATTAATGTATTATACACATTTGCATAAATCAATTATTGACCTTCAGATTTTCTGTTCTGTAATTCTTTATACTGTATAAAATTATGGTAATGAAAGTCAAGCTATTTAGAATATGAAAATGTGTCACATGACCTGTTTGTCCTCAGGTAGATAACTTGTTAGAGTTATAAAAAAAACCTGTGTGCTTTAAAAAAAAAATGGTATCAAGACTTGAAAAAGACGACAATCAAACACCCCATGTGATAACCGCCGCCGCTATGATGTGTGAACTGTTATCCCGTTTCTCAAAGTGAAATAACCTCACATTTGGTGTCGCTGTGATGTTGTCAGATTTACAGCTGACGGTGTGCCGGCCTCAGATACTGCTCTGCCGAAGTGCTGGCTATCTTTTATTCTGTCAGCCCAATTTGTTTGTGCGATGTTTTTCACCGCTCGCATTTACAGGTCTATCTGATTCCCTTAGCTTTAGCTGCGCCGATAACAGCTCTGTTTGAATGAGCCTGTCTGTTCTGTCTGTGCGTGCCAAATAGTGATATCTCACCCTTTCCCTCGCTCAATTTCTATCTTTCCTACCACACTTAGTCTTGTCAGTGCAGCTGGTGGACTATATGTGTGTGTCAGATTGAAATAAAGTGCTCGGTGAAATTAGGTACATTGTATGCAGCGATGCACAGATGTACTCCATATTTTCATCAGATAAATGCATCGGGTGAATCATAAAAGACGTGTAGCATACTGTACTGTGTGTCTCAGTGTACTGTAAACTGCAGCGCCAGCACTGTGAGAATGTGCTGCTTTAATGTGCCCCGCACTAAAAGTAAAACCTGCATGTTTAAACATGACGGCAGCGCACATGAAAGAGCCCTTTACCTTGATTAATTCTTGTTAGCTGGACGGAGGAATGGACTAAAAAAAGTAGACGCCGTTAGCTCATGTCATGGAGTTCAAATGTTCAAATGTTTTCAAAGGCGTAGAGAGAGCAGTTTGCTTACCTGTCATCTTTGCTTCACTTTAATCTCCTCTGTTCCTTCTGTTTTTATTAAATCCTTTTAATTAAGTTATTTTTTTACAGCAGGTTTTTCTGGCCATATTTACCAGCCTTTTAATAACACCACAATGTGAAGGCGTTCAAGCGTTGCCTTTTCTCTTTTCTTTTATCTCCCTCCTTCATCCTCTGTTCTGTTCAATTAAATGCCTTGTTATCTGAAAATTGCAAATATTGGCTCAGCGCAGGTAGGGGAACAGCAATGTGGAAACAGTTTAAAAGACAACAAATAAATGATTAATGTTTACATAAAGTATATCGGAGCTATTGAACACGGCTAATATGTTCCGTCATGTTTATCTCACAGGCATGTGGTCCTTCTCTGTTTCTGAACTGGCCATCGCGGGCGCTGAGATCGGACGCATCTCGGCAACGGACGCCGACCTCGGTGAGAACGCCAAGCTGGAGTACACCATCCTGGAGGGGGAGACGGGGGAGACGTTCAACATCACCGGAGTGAACCAAGAGGCGGTCATCACGCTCAACAAGGTGAGACGACAGAGAACAGGAGAGAAGGGTCATGTACAGAAAGGTTTTTAAAGGTAAAAGTAAAAAAGGTGGAGGAGTGAAGAAGAAGAGCAGATGATGATGAGGAGGGGAGTTGATGACTCAGGTAATGAGGGCAGAGGAATTGTGCTCTGCCTGTGAGTCAAAGCATAGCAAACAAAACATGTTGTCTAAGCCCATTAACCTGGAATTACCCGGATATACACAAAGACACCGGATAAGCCTATAAGATCGGAAATGATCCACCCCCTCAGGAGTCTCTTTAGTGAGGATTTTTAAACAGGTGATTTATATTCATCTCACCTTTTCTCTTTTTCCGACTCCCGTCAGATGAGAGCGGTTTGATGGTTTTCTGACAAACTGATTTCCCGCTCGATTCACTGTTAACCAGCCTCCTCCTTTTTATCAATATTTCCGTCTGTGTACAGTGGACATAATGAAGCGTCTTCCTGAACTCAATCCAAGCATGACGTGCCCAGATGCAAATGTTTGCGGCAGCTTAGTTGGGTGTGGTTTGAAGCGAGAGTGTTTGGACCAGCCGAGATGACTGCTTTCCTTATTCAGAAGGTTTTTCCCCTGCGGAGCGTTTGCATGCACTGAAGGATGAAGGAGACGCTGCCTTCCCATCCTGAGTTCAAATGGCTAATAGTTCCCTTTAGTGTAATAGTATTTCAATTTCAAACGTTCCCTAAGCTGCCTGTCGTCTCCAATAATCACATTCATCTGAAGATGTGTGTGCACAGTGGGGAGGTGAATGGGGGGGGGCTGACACCCACTCATTACCAGTATGACTAATAAGAGTTCATACCTGTATGTCTACCGAGAACGCCCTCACTTGTAATGTCGACTTAATGGGGAGAGGGGCCCAGTGTGTGGGAGGCATGTCTGAGATATGATGCTTTCATTTCTAATGAGCCTTACACAAGTGACTCACACACTTCAATGAAAAATACATGTGTGTGTCTAATAATGCTGTCGGAAACTTCTTCCATCAATGGATGTCAGTCAGTAAGTGCTTAAACAGTATGCGCTAGTCATATGAGCTACACAGGGTGTTATATGCATTATAATGCAAGAGTAGAGAGTGTGTTGATACACTTGTTTGCTTGTCAGAACATGTAAAAAGAGTAGCCATGGAACTATATGAATATTTGATGTCAATATTATCATGCAAGTAACTATTTTATCCCAATAATCATCAAAAATATGGTTTACTTTTTTAAATGTAATTAAAATATGCAAGAAACAATTGCTTTTCCGTGGGTTCCCGGATGTATAATCTGAATATTTTTCAAACTGAATTTGGCCTTTGAGATTAATCTTCTTGACTTTATTAAGGAATGAAGCTGTTGGCAAATGCAATTAGGGCAACAAGCAGGCTAATTTAGGAAGTATTTTTCACAAAAAGAAAGACGTGAAACTAACACATCTTAAATATCTGTCATTTTGCCAACATCTTATAAGACAGAATTTTGTGATACCAGAAATAAAAGATTTAAAAAAGGACATAACAATAGTGAGTGAGCGATGTATGGCTTAAGGGATTGATGGATGGAGGCGTGAAGGGATGTGGGTGAGGATGAAGACATGAGGGAATGTAGGAATGAGGGGTGTTGGGTATGAAGGGATGTTTGAGAGGATGAAGGGGTGAGGGTAGGCACATTCAAATAAACCAGACACCAGGGTTGTGTTTTTTCTATTGCTGGTTTTTGTCCAACTCAGAGTCCAAAACGTTACCAAATTGGATATATAGTATAATAAACAGAGAAAAATGGCAAATCCTTGCATTTGAGACACTTGCATCACATTTCTCCTTCATGTCCGTGGCTCAGTCAGTAGGGGCTTGGACTGTGAGCCGTAGGGTCGCCGGTTCAAGTCCCCGAACAGACCTAAATATGGAGTGTGGACTGCTACTTGGAGAGGTCCCAGTTCATCTCCTGGGCCCTGCCTTGGTGCCCTTGAGCAAGGCACCGGACAACCCCCTTCCCCCCCCACTCCCATTGCTCCCCGGGTGCTGTAAAATAGCTGCCCACTGCTCCGAGTACTAGACTCCTGGTACTAGGATGGAGAGGCCAAATTTCACTGTGTGTGCTGTGCTGTGTGCTCTGCATGTGTGACCATTAAAGAGGGATTTCATCCCTCCGATTCTATGAATGACTTAACTGATTGTGATTAACAAAGATTCCCTCCAGAGATGTATTGTAAATGCTGCTGCGGCCGAGGAGGACGATTGGCCCGTCAAGGCTTACGAGCCCGCGGACGGGGGCCGAGTGTCCCTGGGGCCAAGTGCCGGGCAGGAGTCGGATGACTCTTACTCCGCTTCCCTCCACGGTTCACCGTTCGGTTCTCCCCTCCCTCCCGGACGGGGGAGACAGAGTCGGAGCAGGGTACCAGCTTGGCGGCCGAACATGCTTTCCCCTTCTCCGTCACCACAGCGCTACCGGTGATAGGTGGCATCCTAGGGGAACTGCCGGAGGTCATACGCAAGGCGGCCGCCTGCAGAGATCTCCCCGTTCCCCTAGCTCAGGAGAGGTGTGCTCCGGACGACATGACCGGAGTTTTTTCGCGGGTGCAGACGGTCAGGAGTGACCCGATCTGGCCACGCTTCCCGGCCATCAGGAGGTTCCAGGAGGGGGCGGCGGCGAACCCGAGGACCCTGAAGGCTCCGGTGGCCACATATGTTCCCCTCACCAAGGTGGAGGGGTTCACCGATGCTGGTTTCCCAGTCACCCCTTCTCTGGAGCCGAGCCTGACGGCGTTTTTTTGGGTACGACAGGCCAACATAATCGCCGGACGGCACCCTACGTTGAGCGCCCCCAGAGACCAGTATGTCGCCCGCCAGGCCGACCGGGTGCACCAATGTGCCTTTCAGGCGTCGGCGAATAACATCGCGCTGCTCTCCAACTCGGTGGTGACGCTGGTAGAGCGGTCCACCACCTTGGCTGCTGACGAGGCAGAGGAGATTAGCAAGGCGGCCAGCACGGCGCTCACTCTGTGCGCGTCTGTCGCTGTCTTCCAGGCGAGGATTTCCGCGTGGGTGACACAGATCCAGCGCCACCTCTGGCTGCAGCAGGTGTCTGTTACGGAGACAGCCAGAAAAGTGCTACTGGACTCTCCAATCAGCCCGGACGACTGTTAGCCCGCCCATGGCAGTTCCACGCCATGGTGGAGTCCATGAAGACGGCCGCGGAACAGGCGGACGACATTCGCCAGCATGTCAGTTGGCTCCAGCCTGCTGATCGTCCACAGCGGCACACTCCTACACACGGTCAATAATAAAAGCCATAATAAATGTGGACAGCACTGCACACACCTCCATTCATCCCCTGAGCGTGTACACGCCTCATGATGAGAGCCGGAGTGAAACGCAGCGTGTGGAGGCTCCCTAGCGTGGCTCGTCGCCATGACGACCACAGAACATCTCGAGCATGTGCGCCCGCTCTCAGAGTGTTTCTCAGAGTGAGCGCTCATCCATCTGATGGACAGATGGATGAGCAGGCTGATCAGCAGAGAGTACACCCTGCAGTTCGCCTCTCCCCCCCCCACAGTTCAATGGGATACAGGAAACACTCCTGTCATCCCAGGAATAGTGTCTTGCGCTCCATTCAGAGCTGCTGGAACTCCTGTTGAAAGAGGATATTTCCAGGGTTCCTCAAAGGGAGGAAAATCAGGGGTTTTTACTCCCGTTATTTTTCTAATCCCGAAAAAGACTGGGGGAATGAGACAACCTCAATCTGTCAGTATTCCACATGCTGACGTTCAAACAGGTGCTGGAATGTGTTCACCAGGACGACTGGTTCACTTCCACCTGAAGGATGCATACTTCCACGTACCCATCATCCCGAAACACAGGAAATTCCTGCGTTTCTCATTGCAGGGAATATCAGACCAGTCAATCGTCTGCCGTTCGGATATTTCCTGGCTCCTCGCATTTTTGTGTAGAGAAGGCTGGAGCCACTACAGAGGAGGGATGAGAGGGTGGTTTCCTCTGGACGACCTGCTATTTGCTGGCTCGCTCCAGGGAGGAAGTCGCTTTACAGACGGTACATCTCGTATCGCATCTGTCAAAGCCTGGGTTTCATAATGAATTGGAAGAAAAGCTGTTCTCTTCCCTCTCAGACAATAGTTTATCTGGGAGTGGAATTAAACTCAGCCAGCAGAGCGCGTGTCACAACCCGCATAGCCCTCTCCGTGATGCAGCTGCTCGGCGTTGGCGTCAGCTGGTCACGTGGTGATCCCCTTGGGTCTCTTCCAACAGGGGGACACTCCAGAGGTGGTTCATTCGCTGCAGAAACCTGCTGTTTTTAACCTATTGGTTTATAAACTGCAGAGCTCGCGGCATTCCTCTGTCCCAGATATGCCTCCTACACACGGTCATAATAAACCCACGAGCACCGTTATAACGCCTCGTGTGGACAGCACTGCACACACCACTACTCCCCTGGGCGTGTACGCGCCTCATGATGAGAGACGGAGTGAAATGCAGCGTGGAGGCTCCCTCGCAGCCCTTTCGCCTCACGGGCAGCGGCGGCGCGGGCGATGGCGTGGCTCGTCACCATGACGGGCCACGCCATCACTACAAGTGTTTCAGTGCTGCGCGGGTGCGCAGGGGATTACCCAATAGCGATAGCCTTAGAGGGCGAAGCCATATATACGAAATAGAACCCTTCCGAGAGCACCATTCTGTTTTTTTAAACCAATCATCTCTGAGAGGGGCGTGGCCAGCAGGAGCTCGTTTGCATTTAAAGCTACGGACAGAGGGGCTCGTAGAGCGCAGCAGCCGTTTTATGCGAGGAGTACGGAGACTCAGACCTGTGTCACACCCACTGGCATCTCAGTGGGATTTGGCTTTGGTGTTACGCGCACTAAGCAAAGCCCAATTTGAACCTTTGGATCAGGTTCCCCTTAAACTGCCAAAGTAGTATTACTTTTGGTTCTATCAGCGAAAAGGGTGAGTGATTTGTCTGCTCTCCCTGTGGCTC